GGAGTTGCGGTAGACTCCGTCGCCTTGGGCTGTGATATGGGCGTGGCTCAAAATTAAACAGGAGGGGTTTCGCAGGTTTTGGTCCATATTTCCACTTACCAGGGTTCCATTTTGGGTACCGTTTTTTTGAGCCACAGCCATATCTGTAGCTCCGGATCTCGACTATGCACTTGACACTGAGAGTTCTCAGTGGCTGATGGACTAAAGTATGATTTAGTTCTGTGCGCTCGACATAAACAATGGCCGATAGCTGGATTGAAGATTCCAAAGCCTACTCTGGAGATCCTGCAACACTTCAAAGGATCCTTGAAAACGAATCAACTTCCTCCATGTGGAGCTTTGGCGAGAGCATGCTCAACATGTGGGCTGACAAAAGGACCTACTCAACGTGCTCAAACGTACGATGATGAGTGAATAGTATCAAGTTAGTTCCGTAGATATTTGGGTTCAGGGTGTGGAGGCTCGCCCAAGAGTGCTTATCTATTGTTGCTTTGCTCATCACCAGCCTCAAACATGTTAGCTTGTGGAATGTGACCATGGAAATCTAGTCAATCTCCAGTGCACTAATTACTTAGGACGAAATGCGTCTGAGGAAGTTCGCATGTGTTTCGCGGAAGCTTCTCGGACGTTTGCAAAGAAGTCAGTTCATTACCTAAAGCTGGTTGCATCATTCCGTCGTTCTTCTCGCATGGAGTTTCCATGATTCCACGTCCCGAACCCTTCGTACCGCATGCTCTAGCATGTCTTTTTGGCAAAGGTGTCCGCAGCGATGTGCAAGAGCATGAAAGCTTGGTGACTGAGGAGGGGGCGAGCCAATTCAAGAATCATGATACACAAAACTGTCACCATTTTTGTAAGCATGCCTTGACTTGGTGGAGTCACAGTAGAAGCTTGTGAGCAGAAATTCCGGGAAAGGCCCTGACTCATATAGGTTGTGTGCCATGGCCATCTATCTGCTCCACAATACAAACTCGATTTTTTGGAGGGTTTTAAGAGAGAAGTCCCTTGCCATAAATGGGTGCGGATATTTGCTTTGTCATTCTGAACACCTGGTTCTGGGTAGACCATTTCAATCCCAGGTTTTGATTATGACTCCTTTGCCTCCCCCTGTCTACACCTTTAGCGCCTGGTTTTGTCGTCGCGCATCCTCTGAGCATAGCCTCAGGCCTGCGCACCCACCTTGAGGTCCCTGACAAGGTGAACCCGCGACAGTGCAAGGCACCCCCGACGTCGAAGGGCTCTGTTTGGGAAAGCTCGCTCGCTCGCTGAAGGTGTTCCAATGTGCGGTGTGGTAAGGATGATTCTAGGGGCTTCCATTTCCATTCTTTCCAGGGATCCGGGTCTTTCTAGAAAACCTCCAGAGTCTCAGGGAAAAGAAGGATGGTTGAAAAGAATAGGGAATCAAGCCCTGGAATTCTAGTTTGGTTCTGCCATTGTTTGCTCAACTGGTGATGCGGGACCTGGGCAACCACGGCTCTCGCGCCTTTCGCCAGGGTCTTGGATGATGGCGTTCAGTGTAGAGATTGCCTGAATCAGGGAACCTTCAGTTGGTGTGGCTTGGATTGAATTTGGATTACCCTGTTGCTTCTAGGTGGTAAATGGGAGACCAAAAATATGAGCTCCAAGTAAAGGAAACTTCCACTCAGGCACTGGCAAGATGATAAGGTCACACGTGTACCAAATAATTGTGTCTTTCTAATTCAGACGCACTGCCTGACTTTTCAGAACAAAGGATGTGGCAACTCGTGGCAACTTGGCTGGGCCTCACCAATGACCAATTGAGAAGGCGTCCTTATCTCTACATAAGGTTTTTACACGGTCTTGAACTACTAGAACAGAGTAATTGAAGAGATCCTTGGTAAGGCTACTTTGTCTCATCTGCAATGAACGTGGACATATCTTCTGGTCAGCACGTGGTGTAGATAGACATCGTACAACCATCCAGCATAGTTCAGCTGACCCGCAAAATTCGCGAGCGGAGTGAGGCAAGCAAACACAGGGACACATGCATTCAGGATAGTCAAACAACTGGCGTTCAATCATGTTTGAGCATTGGCCCATCCCTGGTGAAGCATACATCATGTTCATGTGGCTCTTTGTAGGGCCCCATTTTCAAGCGCCCGTCCCCATATCAGGACCGCCCCAACCCACACATTCGTAGGGTGGGTCCGCTGTTCATGTCTAGGATCCAGTGCGGTGCGCGTGCTCTGAGGTTCACTTGCGATGGTTTTGAGATGATTTGAGTGGTTTCTGCTTTGAAGTCAAAGGGACATCCAGCCATTTTGGTGCCCCAACCGGAGACATTCCCATTTGTCGTTCAGACCCCTGCAGTTGATGGGTTTGCCAGCGGAAAAAAACTGCCGGGTCACGCACTTTGGCATCCCTTTTGGGAGGCCATGATTGGATTTCTCTGGGGAAATGATAGGAACCTAAGAAACGGGGCGTGCGAGCTCACAAGATGATCCCTCATTTCAGTTGGCTCATGATGATAGTTCGCCAGTTCACAGATTTACTTGCGGCCCATGGAACAAATCCTGGGTGAATTGTAACAACCTCACACGACCTCACAATGGTGGGTTATGGGAATAGCTCCCAAACCACCTTATCTCAGGTTGGTGAAATATGGGTGTGGCTCAAAATTAAGCAGGAGGGGCAAACCGCAGGTTTTGGTCCCTGTTTCCACTTACCAGGGCAAGCCATTTTGGGATCCCGGTTTTGTTGAGCCACAGCCATATGATAATTCACCCAGATTTGGCTGGTCCTGTCCAGGTCATGGTGATCATGACATCGGCGGTGCGCTCAGGGTCCCTGGAGTTACGGTTTTTGCAGGCGACGTGAAAGAAAGGCAAAGTCACTGCAAAAAAAGAAACAAACACGTTTCCTGCAACTTGATTGCTAGTTGGTTGGATCCTTGGTCTTTTTTTTTATTTTTTTTGGGGGGGGGTTGGGGGCAGCAAAGCAACCAAAGTAAGTAGATTCTTCGCCTGACAGCTTTGGCAAGTGAACCGAAGCCCTTTTGAGTGCAAGTTTGAAAGTGCTTTTTGCAACCGCAGCAAGCTCCAAACCTGCAATTGAAAGCACTTAAGACTGCCAGCTTGCAATCTTGCTGGTTCTGAGCAGGGAATGAGGGTGTGTTTCTTATTATTTCATCTCCTATGGCAATGAGGACGAGTTTCTTGTAAACCAATGGCTTTGTTCGGGAATCCCCGAACTCCCGGGTTTTGGTCATGCCCTATCGCACCAGCTTACAATTTGGCGACCATCTTCGACCGCGCCGAGAAACACTTGGCCCGGCCAAGGGCTCACATGTTCGACGGGAATCGCCTTGAGATGGCAGGGGGTAGACTCTCACTTGCATTGTAGTAGTTCTAGAGAGGGTAGAACGCAAGGCATTGTTGATTTTCTTCTTTTCTCCCCGATTTCTAGCAGGCAAAAAAAGAAAGCCAGAAAGCGGCTCCAACTCCGAATCTCCCCCTTGCGTCTTTGGGAGGGGCGTCTTCGAAGAAACGCCAAAAAACCCAAGGGTTGGTTTATTTGAACATCAACCAAGCGCTCACTTCATCCGCTCAGGTAGAGCTCCGAGGCGTGGTGTCGCCCACCAGAGCCTTGCTGCTGATGTGCGAGGCTCGTCACATGCTTCGGGTGTGCAGCATTCACTTCCATGTGCTTAAGTATATGTTTTATTTGCCCCTGGTAGTTTTAAAGGGAATCTATCACTTCTGGAAATATTTGTTTATTATTTTGTTCAAAGGGCTTATGCAAATGGAAGTTCACAAGGGGCTGTCACAAGTTAATTCATCCATACTGGTGCAACATTTGGTCATATTTTGTCTACAGAAACCGCCCCTGCCACAGTTTGTCGCATCTTGTCTACAGAAACCGCCCCTCTCCCCCCCCCCCCCAACCATGAGTGTAGGAGGTGGTGCAACATGTGGTCACATTTTGTCGACAGAACCCCCCCCCTCCAACCCCCAGTGTAGGAGGAAAGGACAAATAAGTTTGCGGTCTCCTAGGTGCTTCATCGGGTCCCGTCCATGGCTGTTGTCGGGAGACAACTGGAACCCTCCATTCGGTGTGATTCTACTTGTTCGCGTTGGGAATGCGTGGAGTTGCACCGCGACTTTTGTTTTACCACTCCCAAGAACCAAGCTAGGGTATTTGCCAGAAGCAGGAAAGTTATTTTCAAAGATCAAGCTGTGTCAGGGCCACTGTGGCAGGCGCAAAGCCCATGCCGAGATTGACAGTTGTCCTTCATTCTAGTTAGGAACAAGCAAGTTCAAGCTTGTCTCTGACCATTTATGCAACAGGCCAGTAGTGCATGGCTTGGTACATGCAGCAGTTGCGTGTCTAGAATGTACCCCATCTGCAGTAATTGAATGCCCGACCATCACAGTTTGCCGTTTGCCTTCCATTTCCTGAAACTCAAAGGGCCCATTTAATTGAGGGAGGTAATAGTGTTGTCAAACAGAAAGAAAGAGGATGGAACGTTGGTAGTGCGGGGCCGCCTTTTGACTGCTTCTTGATAGGCTTGACGAACGCTTGCCCTTTGCAGATGCGCCCAACATGCTCCGCTCGCGGCCGAAACTGATCAAGCTCCACATGACGCAAACTTCTTTTGGAGGCTTCCACATGTTGATACGAGAGCACCTGCAAGAGGCTGTTCAAATCAGAATGCGCATCGCTGAAACGGCCAACAGAAATGCTCTTTGTTGCACTGCCGTATGGGCACCGTGGCTTTGTTTCGCTTCACGGACCCTGCCACACCTGTGCACCTGTGTTGCCCATTCCACTTGCTGAGCACCGCAACAAGAAACCAAGCAGGACCACTGTGTTGCAAAGGCCGCACAACGCATGTGGTGTCGCAAGAGGACACCTTTCTACACTTTCGAAGCCATCGCATAGATTGCACAGCAGGAATGACGAATATGTGGTTTCATTTTGATGTGTGGTACCATCCCCAGAGAACGTTGATACGCCACAAGCCAACATCATGCGTGATCTTTTGTGTGTCCTTTGCACATCGAGCGGTGTGATGGGCAAGCTGGGCTTTGGCATGGCTTCCGACTCTACCACGGCAACCTGGGAAGAGGCCTGGGGTTGTGGCATGCAATTGGGCACCTCTTCCGTCTGCTCAATCGCATGCCACTGGCGGTTAAGCAAACGACTGCGTTTCCGTTTCGAAACACCCAGTTCCCATCAAGAGTTCAACGTGCCAAGTTGGTCCCAAAGGCCTTGCGAGGAAGGTGACCACAGCATTAAGTGTTTGACTGCCAAGGTGGCAAGAGACATGCTTCCTGAGAAGCTATTGGGGAAGCCATTGCCATTGGAGCATGCGCAAGGTGTGGGCAATCCATGTTGACAAGCAAGTTTGTTGGTAGGCCCTGGAAGGCATGCTTGTTTATTCTTGGTGCATGCTGAAACATCAAGTTGGAGGACAGGAAAGTTAATTAGTGTGTGGCTCATTTGAACCGTAGCCCACAGAAGTGGTTGGCACCAGAAAACAGATATGCAGTACGGTGTATATGACTGACTGGCACATGCACGCCATGGGCACACGAAGGTGACTGGCCACATAGGAGTACTTGGTTTTAGCCACTTGCACCCATGTGCTTACGTGCTGAGTCGGTAACTTCAAGCCCGTTGATCTATTTAGCGGCTCTCTCCTTTGTCTTGTCTAAGGACAAGCAGGTGCAAGCTGTCAATGCAGGTGATTGGCGCACCAGCTTCAGTGCAGGGTTGCGTCACTCTTTGGCCTTTTGAGCTCCCAGCTTTGATCTGTGTTGCGTCCTGATCTCATGGCCTAGGTGCATCCCATTTGAAGGTTCCGTGTAGAATGCCCTTATCATGAAACCCACCAGAGGTGTCAAAATAAGGGGACCCACCCCTAGCAAAATGGCGTCTCTTTTGAGCTTCTCTGTAAACCAGGCCTAAAAGAGGCACCCTTCAAAAAACCCACACCCACACTGTGCATGGACGAAATCCATTTCGCACCACTTGGTTCGCTATGTTGACTGGTATTTCAGTCCTGGGACTCCTTTCCCGGATTTCTTTGGTGCGATTTCTGGATTTCCGGACCATCCGCATCTCCCATCTCCCATCGCCATTCGATGTCCAACTCGGCGAGGGGTCTGTGCCACTGGAGCCACTGGAGCTGAGCCGAGTCCCGGAGGAGTCCGGCACCGGATCCATGGCCGGATGTGGGTGGGGGAATCGACCGAACGAGACCGGAGGGTTGGATCGAAATCGAACCGGGCAGAGGTCCTTTTTTGGGGTGATCGATTGGCTCAGAAATCGAACCCTGTCTTCTTCTTTGTTTTTTTCTGACTAGGGGGGGGGGAACATATTTCTCCCTCAGTCAGGGTTCTTCCCTGAGAAGGAAGCGAAATGAAGGCTGGTGCTTCACGGTTTCTGCAATCATGGAAGTACACAGAACCCTTTTCCAAATGGAAAGGGGCCGGGAGGGTGTATGAAATGATCATCTTGCTTGGGCCGGGGATTGTAGTGATGGTCCACGGGCCTTTCCGGAGTGTTGTAGACTTATAGACAATCATTCCGAAGCTCCCTGTTAAGGAGCCATGAGCATGGCATCCACCGACTCAGTCTTGACCATGACATCCATGTTTCTTGGTGTGGGTTCACAAACGGGGCGCCTTTTTGGATCCTGTGCCTTTCACACATGAGGATCCCCATATACAAAGGGTCACAATTTTGTTGACTGCCCTATTTCACTTGTGCTTTTTGTTTGTTTTCAGTTCGATGTGCTTGGCATGGCTACACAAGTGCTTTATGATGCCCGTTCTTTCACTTTCGCGGAAACCTGTCTTATGTTCAACATGTTGCAGCATGTTGACAACGGTGTTGGGGTCTCACGAACTGCTCACAGGAAACAATTGGTAGATGTGCCATATGCCTTCCTGGGTTTCCTGATGCCTCTGACCAGCAAACGCTCAGCGACTGAGCTAAGGATCTGCCTCCATACCACACCGGCAATCGAGCTGCAACTCTGCTCGCCGCTCCTTCCATTCCTGGAACTCCTTCCAGAATTCATATGAACTGGCAACTTGAATGCAAAGGGCAACGGAAATGGCTCCAAAGATGCCGGTGCGTCAGATGCCCTGCTTGGCGCTTAAGGGGACCTTTGCCACGTCGAGATCGGCACCAGTGCCATGCAAAATGCCCATGTCCAGCCAAGGGACTTGGACTAGATGCTGGTGGTTTGCACTTGATGTTGGACTAGTCAAATAACGGGTTGGCCTTTTGTTGGAAATCCTTGTACGGGTTGGCCCGCATCAAAAGGTTCCAAAAGGACTCATGAAACGGCTGGAAGGCAAGGCGGGGCGGCAAGGATCCCAGTATATCCCAGTGCTCAATTTTCCTCATTGGTTCCATTCAAGGGAACACGAAGGATGGATCGTGTTGTAGCCACACGAAGTAGCAGCCAGTGTAGCTTCAACTTACCTGCCTTTGTGACTTTGGCTATCAGATGACGGACTCCTTCCCACATTTCCCCGTCTTCCCACGGTTTCTCCACCAAGAAGGCCACCAGTAAGGCGACTGGGGGCGATGAACCTGTGGACATTCGCTTCTGTAGGGCGAAAAACCTAAAGGGATGGCTGAGAACTATCAGGAGGCAAGCACGGTGTTTGGTAACAATAAAAACTACCCCTGAAACATGGGTGACTGCCCCCACATTTATGGGGGGATGCGAAAACAACACAAAAACACCACCTAGCAAAAATGGGTGATTGCCCCCCAAATGGGTGATGTCCAATTTTCATGGGTGGGTTAAGGGTCCAGGTGCACGCGTACAGGCTTCGTTTTTCCAGCATCCCCATGCTCCTTCTGCTGGGGACTTGCAGGGCAGCACCCTCATGTCAGCCTCAGCGTACATCACATTTGGCTTGGGAGCAAAAGAACGATGTGTCAAACCTCGGATAGCAGGGACACACAATTCAGTTCACCTTGTCATTTGCATCAGGCGTAGAACTCACAGAGTTTCGGAGGGTTCGTGTTTTTGTTGTACCCGATT